AATGGTTCTCAGGCACATGCGTCAAAAGCAAAGCCCTCGAGACGAAAGAGAGTATCACAAGAACAGCCATCAGGGCATCGGAACAAACAACGATCCCTATCGTGTATCCTGCACTGAAATGAATAATTTTTGGTTGGCAAAATGTTGAATGAGCCTCCCATTCTTTATAACAAAAGAATGCAGTTTCTAGATCTTTTGTATCTCGTTAATGACTAGTTTGACACATCGCACCGCACAAAGTTATCGGATACAGTAAAACTCTGACAGACCAAAACCCTTTTTATCTCAAGGAAACATAGAACCACAATGTAACGTTTCGTCTTTTAATACAAACTGAACGTGCAAACACTTTTCAGAGACACCTGGCACTTCTTCGTTGTGTCGGGGTGCCACCTTATTTCAGAATGGAGTTGCTAGAGAAAGGTAACGTTATGATGTCTTCTCGATAGTTTAAAGTGACATTTTCGTAACTCTGTTAGGATATAAGCTTCTGAGGAACTAATGGTAAACAAAGATCTGGTCAGACTTCCTTTACCAAGGAGTCATTTAGTTTACGCGTAGGTTGGTTTGTAACAGTCGGTTAGCGATAGTTCATACTGTAATAAAGAAAAAAAGTTTCCAAAAAATTTTCCTGTTTGATGTTATCTTACTGCCCTTAGTGTAGTGTTAATGTGAGATTATATTGTGACAAGGAAAAACAGACACCGTTTGTTATTTTCATTGTCAATGCGATTTAGATTTCTTTGTGTGCGGCCGGCGAACATTTGCTGGCGTCACCGTTAACATTTTACTTCATTAGTATAAAAAGTTACTTTGAAAAAGAATCAATCCCATGAAAAATAGGAAATTATTCCAAAAGTTGAAAGAGCTCATAGGACTCTGTAGTCTGTACAATTTTCAACTTCTTGTGTGTGATACGTAGCTTAGGATCGTAGTCGCATTCGATGAGGAACTCTAGACCTCCGTATTGGTTAAGAGCTTGATTTGGGATTTTTTCCACGAAGCATTACTTGATTCAGCAATACGCTTTATCCAAGCAATCTTTAGCGACCGCTCCATGATTTCAAAGTCAATCATTTTTAGGCCCCCACAGTGTTTTTCACCAATGATAGTCTTTTTCTTAATTTTGGGAGGCTTACCCTCCCAAATGAAGCCGAAAATAATCTTATTAATTCTGTCTATAAGGGATTTAGATACGGTCAGTAACGAACTGCAATATATGAGTTTCGACAAACCTAACGTCTTCACAATATTGATTCTGCCAATTAAAGTTAGCTTTCTTTTTTTCCAGTTGTTGAGTGTTTTTTCTGCTTTAAGTCATAGGAAAAGTATATACCAAGGGCATAGACTGGTTCTTGGGGCCATTTAAAACCAAACGGCTTGTCTTTGCGCGACCTCCAACATCCTAACCACAACGCTTCGGTTTTGTTTGTGTTAATTTCGAGACCACTGATCTGCTTGAATTTGTCTAAATGTTTTAGTAATTGTGTGACAGAATCAAGATCTCGCACCAAAACGGTGGTATCGTCTGCGTATTGGGTTATCTTAATTTCATTCTGACCGACTTGGATGCCTTTAATAGTATGGTCTTTCTTAAGTACTCTAGCTAAGAGTTCGATTCCAACGACGAAAAGGAGGCCAGACAGTGGGCAACCTTGTCGCACACCTCGCTCGAGAACGAAGAAGTCCGATGCATGACCATTGTGCAGTACACAGCTCGATGCTTGGTTGTAAATAACTTGAAACCAATTGAGTATGTCAGGGCCAAAATTAAACGTTTGTAAAGCGGCTCTTAAGTAGTTCCATTCTATTGTATCAAACGCTTTTCGAAAGTCAAGAAATATGGCAATACCGAGTTTTTCTTCCTACTTAGTGTGAGACATTACATCTTGAATTAGTCTAACGTTTTCACCGATAAAGCGTCCTTTAATGTAACCAGTTTGGTCAGAGTTTATGATTTTAGGGAGGACTTTTTCTAGTCTTTTTGCAATAGATTTTGTCAGAATTTTGTAATCAACGTTTAGTAGAGATATGGGTCGCAGGCTTTCAAGTAAAGTTTTGTCTTTGTTCTTTTTGGGGATGAGTGAAATGATTCCGCGCTTTTTGCTGATAGATAGTGAACCTTTTTGGAAAGCATAATTAAAACTGGCAGTCATCTCAGTGCAAGGTCACTCCAGAAGAATTTGTAGAAAAACCATCAGTTCCTGGCGTTTTATTGTTTTTAAACTCTTTTAAGGCAGTTAAGCATTCTTCTTTCGAAATCATGCCTTCACACAGTATTTGTTCGTTTTCATCTAGCGGATCAATATTCTCTAAATTGAATAAATCAGATTCAGGCAGATTATTCTGGGAATTTTGCGACTTGTAAAGAGTTTCAAGAAAAGTTTTTTGTTCTTGTAGTATCTCAAACTGATCACAAGTTACCTGATTGTTACGAAGTTTGAGCCTTGTGACTGTTTTTTGAAAATGATTCCGTTTTTCCAGGTTGAAGAAGTATTTGGAATTTCGCTCACCAAACTCATGCCACCGAGCTTTGCTCCTAAGAATGGCGCCTTTTGTTTTTTGTCGCATGATCGTTTGAAGGCGCAATTTTGTCCCGTAAAGCTCGTTCAATATTCTTTTGTCGCTAGGGTTTTGTTCACACTTTTGCATAAGTTCATTAACTTTATTTTGAAGGGCAGCCTCTTCATTCCTCTTGTTCTTAGCTTTGATTTTTGAATACTTGATTGTGAATCCGCGAATTTCCATTTTAATTAAGTCCCATTTTAGACCTAAGTCATCCAGGTCAGCATATTTGTCTTTGAAATCCGGTAGACTTTCACGGATTGCGGAAGTGAAGTCTTCGTCGTCTAATAGAGAATTATTAAATTTCCAAAAACCAGGAGCTTTAAGTTGCAATAAATTAATGTTCTGTCTTAAGATGTAAAGTGACAGCCGAGTGATCAGTTTCAGGGACGTTAATTATATTGCAAGCATGTGTGTCACTGCTGAGTTCTTTTGAAATTAAAAAGAAGTCTAGTCGGCATTGGATTTTTAGCGATTTGTTTCTCCAAGTGAAGCGGTTGTCGTTCGGATTGCGATCGCGCCAAATGTCTGTTAAATTATAGAGGTTCGCAAGATGCTGAACTTCTTTAATTACTATGGATTTTTTCCAAACTGAATTTCCACCTTTTTTGTCATTTTCAGAAAGAGCGCAGTTGAAGTCACCTGCGATAATAATATTCTCTTGGGCAAAATCTTCAAGCTGATTTTCGAGCTCTTTAAAAAACGTGACTTGCTGATTCGCGTCATTCGGGGCATAAATATTCACTAGAATTAGATGCAACTCATCAATTAATAGGTCAAGTATAAGAAACCTGCCATTCGTGTCTTGGATGCATTTTTCGACCTTGACATCTAAGTTCGGAGTAACGAGAGTCATGACACCTTTGCTATGTGAACTGCCGTGACTAAAATAAACCTTCCCACCCCATTCAGCTTCCCAAATTTGGGCACATTCTTTAGAGCTGTAGGTTTCTTGTAAGAATGTGAAGAGGAATTTTTGATTATGTACACCGTAATTTTTAGGGAGTTATTATAACTCCAAAAATGGAGTAAAAATTTTAGGTACAGGATAACCCCTTTTTTGGGGTTATTTTAACTCCTAATTTAACTCCGAATTTGGGGTCATTTTTACTCCTGAAAAAGAGTTCTTTTTACTCCCAGTCTGGAGTTAAAATTACTCCGAAATGGGGTTACTTGTACTCCTTACATGGGTTGTTTTTACTCTTTTTAGAGTTAATTTAACTCTGAAAATGGAGTAAAAGTTTTAATGGTACAGGATGACTCCTTTTTTGGGGTTATTTTAACTCCTCAATATCTGGGGTCACTTTTACTCCTGAAAAAGAGTTCTTTAAACTCCTTTTTGGAGTTAAAGTAACTCCACGAAAAATAACTCCACTGGTAAGGAGTTAAATTAGCCCCACTAGAGGAGTTATTATAACTCCCTGAAAATTACAGTGTAACCAACGGAAGATTGATCGACGTTTGATTGACTTATTCAGTCCTCTTACGTTTAAGGACTGGAATTTAACAGGTTTTAAAGGCGTCTACGGGACAAAGGGAAAAAGTCAGAAAATTGCGCTGGCAACGGCGGACTTTGACAGCTGTCTTTTGGCCGAAGTGTGAATGTGAATGCAGTGTTTTGGTGATTAAAGTGTTCAAACTACTAGTAGAAATAAAATAAATTATCAAAGGACTTAGACAAACATTACTTAAGAAACATAAACAGAAAAATAAAAAAGGCGCTGAAAAAGGCCTTCGAACGCACCACACGAAAGTGGTTTGGCGTACTTGAGAGGGTAGCATAACAAGGGACGTAGAAAGCATCCGCAATAACAACGACTTTGAGTCTGAATGTAAAATAAACGGATTTGCCATTTTGAAAGGTGCAAGTGAAAATTTGGTTACCGCAAGGGAAGCATGAAAATAGCGAGTTCCATCTCAGGGTCGAAATTAAGTCCTCGTATTTGGAAACACAAAACTAGAGCATGATTTTAAAGGCAAGAAGCAACGGAGTAAAAATAAAACTGGTTTTCAACTAAGAGTTAATTTTAAAGTTTTGTGAAAGGATTGGACTTACGGAAAAAGCGTTACCTATTCGCTTTGACTAAGCAGTTCTTGGGATTGGACCATAACATCAGAGGATTCTTCTTGACTTTGCAGTGGTTCTTGATGTTCGGCTGTACCATTGCCATAATCCTCATGGGTATTCACTGAAGAGGTGACAGGGAGCCATTTCTTCGGCACGTCATAATGAAAATAAACTTTTCCATTAACAACTAACTTATCTCCTATGACGGAAGCTTTGTGGCTAGGTGTTTCTTGTTTTATATTCTTCATCGCAGGGATAAGGACGTTTTTCCTGATTTCTTGTATGTGCTTCGGTAGGTCTTCACCCATTGAAATACGCGAGTTTTTCAGCCTGTAGCGAGCTTTCCAGACACGATCTCTGTCAGCACGACACGTGAAGCGAGCAATAAGAGGTCGGGTTCTGTTTCTGTTTGGCTTGCCAAGACGATGTGCCCTGCAAAGATTCATATTCGAGACTTCGTCTTGTGGTAGGTTTAAATTTCGGGTTAAGACGTCACGTACCAGCGAGAAGCAATCCTCGTCTTTGGACTCATTGACTCTGTAGAAAATTAAATTCCATCGACGACTATAGATGTTTAAATGAGTCAGCTCATCCCAACAAGTTGACTGCTCGTTTTCGCAGTTCGCGACGCGTTCCACAAGGTCGTCATGCTCACCTTGGGTGAACTCAAGGGAATCTTTTGTGTTGTTCACTGTCTTATCGACCTCACGGCTTGTATTTCAACTTGGGCTTCGTCAAGTCTAGCCTCCAGATTAAGAATTCGTTCTTCGCGGATTTTAGTGTTGTCTTCGATAGCTGTAAGTCTTAATAAGAAACTTTGATATTCTGTTAGCGTCATTTGGATGTAGGCGCCATCTTGGGCTGCTTCGATGGATTCCGTGTCGGTGCCAGAGCTGCTTATCCTCGGTCGTTTTTTATCTAAATCTTTGTTTCCCATGTTGGTAGCTGTTAGTACGATGAAAAACGTACAAGAACGGCAATATTCACTGTGTTTTGTTGATTTCTCAAAGCCGGGTTTGCGGAGCTTTCAAATGTGCGTCTACTTCCAACGGCCCATGCCCAGCTCTCCCCAGCTGACAGTTTCGGTGTTTTCTGGGTTTGATAACTTCGAAGAGTGCTGCAATAGCAATTACGGGGTTTTCAACGCAAACCAGTGGCGGAAAATTAAACTTGGATCGTTTGCTAGCATATGGAAGAAAGAGCAATCGACAGATCTTTAATCCGGAAAGAAATCTTCGCATAAAGAGGGAGCGCATGGAGGAAAGCTTACAGTTCGCAAAACTGGCAGTGAATGTCCCCCAACGCTAAGTTCGTTATTTACATCGCCGGTGGTGATTTCTGCTTTTACTACTGGCGAAGTCGTCGAAGATAAATTTTTTCTTAGACCTTTCTTCGACTGGAATGCGACGACTACGAAACTTTTAGGAAACTTTCAAAAAGATTTGCCCTAAGGCAACAGATCAAAGAGAGCCCTCTAGTTTTGTAAACACTATTATTGCTCACACCTTGCTCTTGTAGTGTACTATTTTTTCTGTTACCACCATTAACATTCCTTTGAGCTTTTATAAAAAGCTTTAAAGCTCTATTTGTAAATTTTTATCATAAAATATTAAAATCTATCAGGATCATGGTTGCAATCTGAATGGCATGATGTTTTAATTAATATACAGTAAATTCCTTAGTATTTCCAACATTCTGGCCCGGGTTGCTCGAAGCATGGTTAGTGCTAACCAGCGTTAAATACCATGGAAACCTATACATTTTGATACCTCTTAACCAACGGTTAGCGCTAACCAGGCTTCGAGCAACCGGCCCCAGATACATAAGTAGATTTAGTACAGAAGACATCACTGTTCTGGTCGCCATAACCCTCACTAAACAAAAGGTATGCTTTTTTCAATTTTAGTCTTCCCAAAACTCAGAGCCTGATTTAAACTGCACAGACACATTGTCAGTTCAAACCACAAGCTAAAGCAAGAGAGCCCACACAAGTTTATTGCAAAAACTGTTTTTGCAATTTTGTAAAATACAGCAAGAATTATTACCATTTACTGATGTGGTCTTTAAAATAAAATTGTGATCCTGTCTTGAATGTTGTGTATTGTTATTCTTCTGAGTGAATAATGAAAAGTTTTGCAATCTGGCATTGAATACTTATAATAATTATAATTATAGTATATCATAATTTGAGACGTAAACTCCAACACAGGGGCACTCATGCACTGAATCACTGAAGTGATGTGACTGACAGATTGCAAGTTAAAAATGAATAATCACCAAGGCTTGGTCACTGAAATATTTACTGCAACTGAGGGTTATGTACACGTATGAGATAGTTTCATGGCCCCTGCTCATCACTGCTGCTTTATGTTTCACTACTTAAGGTTGTGCTCTACCAGCACCCAGTTGGCCCATGGTGCTTAACTATTGTTCCGGGGCAACTAGGAACGTTTTTCATAGAAATCATGTGCTGGGCACCCAGGATTTCACGGGTCCGGAGCACTGGGCTCCTTTCAATTTTTCTTAGAGCACAGCCTTGCTACTTCAAAAAACCTTGGTGTATCTTTCAATATGGGATAGACTAATGTTATTCCTATAAATGAGGAAGCTTCATGGCCCCTTACCTCATACAAAGATACTGTCCACCCTACTGTAACAATTGATCTGCACACTTGTTGATCGCAAGATAAATGTGAGGCCCCAGCTAAGAACCTGCAGGACAAGTTTAGGTCTTACGTACCGTGTGCAATATACAAATCCATTATTTTTTAGTCATACCAGTGATTACAATAAACAAGCCAAGGGCTGTAATACTGTTTAAAGGCTGCAATTTTATTGTTCTTTGTTGCCTGATTTAGCATAGTCTACTTTGGGGGTATTATATAGCCTGAGCCAAGCTAGGGCAGGGCCCACGCAGGGCAAAGGGGCTTCCCCACTTTTTGAAAAATAAATAAATAAAATTAAGTACAGTGGAACCTTGATATAACGAAGGGCCAAGGGACTGGCAAAATATGTTTATTATAACGAGGTTTGTTAACTTTTAGCGAGATTCTGTTTCATATTGCCTTATATTTTACTATCATTGGAGTAAAAAAAAAAAATAGTTTGTTAGACCGAGGACTTCGTTATAGAGGTTCCATTACAATATACATTTTCATATGAATACTATTTTTGTTGGAATAAGAATCTTCCAGCATCTAAATTTATTATTGGTCCGTTTTGATCCCATCAGCAAGCCTCAAAAAGTCAATCGTCCTAGATTTCTGCACTTTTAATCCAGCAAAGCTATGTAGCATTTGCAACAATGCGGAATAGTCTTTTTTGATGAAGGTTCTTGATTAAATCTGAAGACTACTCTATGAACTACGGTTTCTTAAAACGAATTATATCAGCTGATGATGTGGTCTCTGGCACATTTCAATGACATGCTAGACAAAATGAAGGCATTACAGGAACCTACAGTGTAATATCATGATCTGCAAACTTCAGCATGTGCAATCACGCTCAGCAGGAGAAAGGTACTTTTCAGCGGCTTGAAATTTATGAACATAACTCTGCTCAACAGTGGCTCAAGAAAGGTTCAGTAATCTGACAGTTCTAAACAGCCACAAAGAGAGAACAGCCAAATTTGCTCTCACGTCCCCCCCCACCTCAATGTAGGTGGTCACCGGCCCCCGCACGTTAAAAACTGCTTCCCAGGCCCTCTTAGGGGTTTTAACTCTTAAAAATGCTAGTTTCTAATAATATTTTACAATGGAAAAAACCAGCAAGAAAAACCCACATAGCACAATCAAGGATGGGCCTCCATGCATGATGAACATAATTTCCACTGTGTGACACTTCTTCCTAGAGGCAGTGAAGTTATGGCACACTGTGTTATCAGCAGAATCGTGCAACCTAGTGATGTACTGAACCATTTAGTTTTTCAATACATAAAGTTAGTTGCAAATAATAATTTATAAATGCAGTGATAACCCAGTACTCTATGATCTACAGACACCCACTTAATTGGACACCCATATATAACAGGCAGTTTTGTTTGTCCTGAGGAAAAGCATACATTTTTTCTTTAAAATTAACCGGCTTAGTACGCACAGTAGTTAGCACAGTAGTTAATGTGGACAACAACCACTTTTCTGTGTTTCAAGTCAGAAATTCCTATATATTCTTAATCCGGCTTTACAGACACTGGTTACCCAGGTACTTTCTATTTTTCTTGTCAAAATGATGTGCCAATAAGTAGACATGTACCAAGTTCACGGGTTCATAAGATTTTATTACCAAAACATCTGCAGCCAAATAGCAAGACACATTTGATTTTGATGCATGTTTCTTTCTTCCCCTGTTTGTAGTCCTTTGATAAATTTTCTGCCTCCTACTCAACAAGTTTCACGTCCTTGGCTTTTTGCTACAGTCATTGTTCCTACCCTTCTTCCTCCTTGTTCCTTTATGCTATATATCAAATAAATCACGTGTCTGTGACTTTTTTCCAGAGAGCTAACTTAATATGGACACCCGGATAATACGGACACCCAGATAATATATAGACATCATAGCATGTCTGTATTAACCTTTCCACTGTATATATTTTCTTGTCTAGCCAAAGCTTCAAAGCTGGTCCCAGTAAAGAGAGCATCCAAATAATGCACACCTGGGTTTGAATGATAAATAAATTAAAAAAAAAAAAACGTCACATACAACAATTTCATAAAGTTATCTATAAAAGATATGGGAATACAAGGGGATATCATTGACAATAGTTGGATGAGGTGAAATCTCTACATTTTTGTTAGCGTTGCAATTTATAAGTTGCAATAATGATCTGCAGTCGATCGATAGGGAAGGCATAGGCAGACACAGCCTTTTCAAAAAAAACATGAGCTACAAAGAATGTGACAGTCTTTAATGTCAGCACTGAAAATTATTAAATTGATATACCAAATCAAGAGCGAGGGATCTCCTTATTTATCTATTTATATTGAAAATGAGTAAATTAACTTTTCTGACAAAGAGAACTTAACAGTAGATCTAATTTTAAAATCCTCAGCTCAGATACGCAACACTAAAGTAACAATTAAATTTTCAATAATAAAGGACAGCAGTCCGTTTAAGATGGTAAAAAAAAACACATGCATATGACAACGAGCTGGCTGCTTTAGAACTGAAACTTAGCTGAACTGAAAACTGTACCCACTCTGATTCGCTGAACCTGAAGAGCTATAAAGCAAAACTTTATCTACACTTGGATAAATGAGCACTCGAAAGTGGCTAGAAGGCAGGTCAAATTGGTGCTGACTTTCGATCGTCTTGCCTGTGTATTATTATTATAGCTAGTACGTATACAAATACACCTGCCAGTAGTCCGAATCTCCGTCGGCACAAACTGCATAAAATACGACTTGGTGAAGTGTGTTTTTTTCCTTCTCTGAGGCTAGCTGCCTTCAGTATTTGACTTTCTCATATTCAGTCGGTGCTGGTTCTACCGAGTCATCGTAATCTACGATTTCCTCCTTCACAATTCCAGAATCGGGCGAAGACGAGCGAAGCTTTGAGAATCGCTCGCAGTTTTCTCACGGTTCAGCTTTGTTTTCTTGGCGTATTCAGAAAATGACCTCACAATCAGAGAACAATAGCTTTGTCACTGGAACATAAATTTGTAATGGCGGAAAAACCTACATTTTCAAGCTCAATATTTTCACTTAGAGGGCACCAAAGTTCATTTCAATGACCGAAACAGGTACAGCCACTTCTGATAAGCTGAAAAGAAAGCGTTTTTGTGACAAACTTGACATTAAATTTTGATCGTAATAGCACTTTAAGACCCTGAATGTTAGTCCGGTCTGGGGCTTGAACCCTCGACTTCCCGCACGGCAGTCCGGCGCTCTACAAACTTAGCTAACTACGCAGCGATTTTTGAAATGTTTTCGAAAAAGACCTGGTGATTTTTTTTTATATACAAAATTCCAACAGATTTTTTAAGGTACAACAGCACTTACAATAATAACAATGGTTATACTAATAATACTACTATACTTAACTTACTGCACTTAATTACATTACTTACAATGTTAGCATTCACTAATTTACAATACTTAACACATTTAAACATAACTTATGATAAATTAGCTTAAGACAAAAAGGGAAAAAAAATCATCCAAAAAAAATACATTTGCTTGAAAAAGACAACGTTCTAATCACTTTTTTCAATCAATTTATCTTACTTATTTAATGTTTTTTTGTAGGAAGTCAAGTTTTGATATTATTTACCTGTACAATATTTTCTATACGGTATTTAGAATGTAGCTTTTCTGTAAAAGCATTGAAATTAATATTTAGCTGAGTTAATTTCTAATGGTAAAGGTAATATTTTGCAAATATCATGTCATAGTTTAGTTTCCGAAGACCTGATGATGTTTGTAACGGACGTAGACTTGTGTGAAAGTGAAACATGCTTAGTATTCACAGCTTATATTCCAGCTACCAGGTCATCGTGGTTATTGCTATTTTAAAAAGCATAAATTCGATTTAAAGGTTAACATTAGACCCGTTCGACCGTAGCCCCTTCGGACACCTCACGAAATTTACACTACATAGTTTTCCTTAAAGTTGTTAAGCACTACAGATTAGGGTTGAGCACTGCCTTTTATGATTAGGGTTAAGTACTGTTTCGAAACTGGTTAGGTTCTTTTTTGGGTTGGGGTTAATGCTATATGTCTTTAAATTATTACACATCCACTCGTCAAATCCTCTGTCAGTAGTCCAGTGGTTAGCGTGGTATATTGGATCTTATGTGCCGCGGGTTCGAATCCTTTCAAAGGAACTTGCACTTTCGTGAACATTTCCTACTTGAAATATCATCTAAGTGTGATATAAAAGTAGAAAACAGTTCTACCTTGTGTAAATTTCATGAGGGGAGAAAGGGGCTACGGCTGATGGGATCTATAATGCTGACCCGATTTAAATGCATAAGGCAAGAGCCGTCTCTAACAATTTGACCTCAGATAGATAGCAGCCAGCAGGTTTTAATAATTCGGCTCTTGTAAATTTCGCTATCAAGAATGGCAAGGGCGTTAGACGATAAAACAGATGCTATGATTTTCTCTCTTATGGATGATTTGATGGCACTAAGTCTTCAAAGTAAGGATCTAGCCAAGATAACTCATTCGCGACATCTTCGAACGTCGAAGAGAGGAAAATCGTTTGCAATTTTATGACGACGTCATTGCTTCGGAGGCTCTCGAAAATCGCCGAGCACATTGACCGACAACATACAGAGCGGGGGCAGCTGTACTGTCAACTATTACTAGTAATTAAACATAAGATCGCAAGCTCGAGATTTTTATCTCGTACTGATCACGTTTTCGTTACTCATTGTCCATCAAGGAATAGCCAATGAGTAGCGTAGCCAATTAGATTGCAGCATTTGTGATAGTAAGATTAGCCATAGTATTTATAGTATGGCATAGCTTAGTAGATTTATACTAACTGGAAATAGCACCGCAGTGATATCTTCTGTACTGGTTTTAAGTTATTCGCGTTTAAGATAATTATAGTCAGTGTTAGAGGCATTTAAAGACATTGTGCCTGATATTTGCGCTTTTAGTACGCGTAGTCTAAGAAGTGGCCGGGCTGCTAATGTCACAAATGCTTGTGTTCCAGATCGTCTTTTTAAGCCGCATGGCCGCTGGTCTAGTGAATTTGCTAAGGATGGTTATGTCAAAGATTCTTTCCTCACGTCAATTTCTAAAGCCTTAGGTATATTAGTTTTCTCGTACGTAACGCTTCTTCATTTATTCTAATATCCTTTAGTTGGTCTTGTCCGAGGGACCGTTGTTTATGGGGTACAGCTGGCCTGGAGTTTTCCTCCTAGGAGCAAGTGGACGCACGTGGGGGTTTTTCACCCAGTTGTTGTTCCATCTTCCCATTTCAGTTGGCTTGCGATTGAAAACTTTGGAGCTGAAGGTTGCATGGATTCTTTTGCTTACTTATATATTACTTTTGTATGATAAGCCATGTATGCTTTAGTCTTTGCGCAGAATAAACCGAAGGCTTGGCTTAAAGCGAGCCGCACCCCAGGGCTGTGTATGTTTTGTGTTGGGTCAAACAGATTTAGAGGAGAGCTGAACGAATTAACTACAGACTAAATCAAATATATTATGCAGTCACCAATCGAATGAACGGCGTAAGTGACGACAAACTTTCCACTTATCATCTTCATTTTATTAAATTCGTAGGTATAAGTTCAACAGTTTATTGCACTATTTCACAACTTAGTTTGTGGAGCAAAAAGTGAGAAGATTTCAGACAACGAATCTGGATGTTTATTCTGGTTAATAAAATGCGATAGTGACACGCACATTAAAAAACTTCAACAAACATAAGTTTCTTCGTTTAGTTTCTTGTCACTGCACTAAGATGCAACCCATGGCCTTGATGTGCTTGTCACCATTATCACTCCTGTACCTAGCTTCGTTTCCACAAGTGTTAAAGTCATCATAATTTCCTCCAGTACCAAACCCGATTCTGGAGTCACATCCTCCACAGTTCCCCTCATTGTTTCCAATGATGCCGATTCTCGCTTTGGAAGAACCAGCCTCTTTGCCAACGGTGTTAAACCCCTCCTGATTACAGTTGCGTTGCAAGGAGGCCTCAGAACCAATCAGCGACTTCCACGTGTTACGACCCAATGAAGTGTCGCGGTATTGTCCATCAGCGATCACAGAATACAGGGAGCTGGCGTTCTTGCTGATTGTAATAAATTTGGCCTGGCTGTCAATCATCATACCTAGGCAGATCTTAGAGAAGGATGTGTTCCAGTAGGTGGGAAGTTTGGTCTCATTTGAGTCGAAGCCAGTCTTCCCTCCATCAAGGTTAAAAGTTTCGTTGTTGCCCCAAAGGGCGGCATCGTAGTGAAACGTTTGCTGTGATAGCAACAGAATGGGGAATATTTAAAGCACTCATTTAAAAGTTTTGATTCATAAACGGACAAGCCCAAAAAAATTTGGGCTGATGCACCGAATTATCTGTAATTGGACTTCATACTTTTAATCCAGGTAATCAATTTATACTTAGCTCGTCAGACTGCACAAACTTGTCATTTTCAAAGAAGTGTATTATTTTAAAAGCTCCTTGGCTCTTTTACTCGCCCCATGCAAGGGAATCCGGATTCCCAAATCTGGGAAATTTTCATTATTGAATCCGGAATCCCGGGCTTTGGAATCCAGAATCCCACTAACGTTTTGAATCCAGAATCCACGTCCCACTGACAATGAGTGGAAGCCATTAAACTGGAATCCGGAATCCACGGCAGAGAATCCAGAATCCAAGAGGGTCTTGATTTTCTGCATTTTTTTGCTAAAATGAGCATAATTTGCAAAAACTAACATATTAACTATTGGCATAATTTTAGAAATATAGGAGCAATGCTAGAAGCAAATTACGCTACGTCCTGTGTGAGCACACTCTTTCAAAGCCTAGCGGCGCCGTGTACAACCAACGTTGTTATAATTTATTTTCGTTTCCCGAGAAACATTTGAGATTAGAGCGGTCAACATTCGCGGGTAACAGTGCACTGGTTGTTTACCATTTACATTGGTGAACAGGTCGGTTCACGGTTTGTGTAAATGGTTCGCAAAGTTCAGGACTGGTAAATCTTGTTCCGGGACTGGAATCGCGTTTACAACTGTACAAATCAGTTCCTTTTACCGGAAAACGGCCGCAAAGTCGTGAGACTGATACCAAAGATGGCTTTGAAGAAATGGAACACGAACTTCTGTTTGGAGTATTCCTTCGGGAAAAACAAGACTACCTTTTCAGATGTCCCGTTGCTCCCGGATATTTTCCGTTGGGAAGACCTAAAAGGTCGTGTTCCATTTACTTTCGAACCGGATTTCCCGGAAATTTTTGTAAATGGTAAACAACCACTGTTACCCTTTGATGTCATAGACTTTGCAATGTTACCCGCTCGGAGATTTTGGTGGGAAACAGTTTCATTGTTAAATGTCATGTGACGTCGAAGTAACCAGTTGGGAAAACATTTCCAGCCATATAACAATATAATTTGCTATAAAACAATAAAATATTGTGTTCTTTGAGTTTTCATCATAAATGTAACGATTACTGACAAAAAGAAAAAAATCCATAGTTTCGTCAGTTTCTTGATTTAAAAGACGAAATGGGCTATGTTGGAATAGGTATACCTTTGTTCCATTGATCTTCATAACCAGCGTCCATCCCCCAACTCCGCATGCGTCATTGTCAGTAGGGGCCACGGCCATGTTGCAATAAATGTCAAATACATCGTCTCCCAAAATCAGTGGATAGGCTTTGCTCTCGTTTGATCTGCAAGGGAAACAACACCTAAATGAGCGTCATATGATATTGGTTAGCGGAGGCCTAATTTTGACATCTTTCAATAGACCATTTTCACGATGACGACACTTGACAGCAACAACCAGAATCCATTTCATTTTTTGTTTTCTTATTTAGATTTGTCATTCCTGCTCTGGTTTAAAAACCAATAGCCCTAATTTTAGGAAAACAACAAAACTGAAGTATTCTGGTGATTGTACTAAAATGACGTCATCACGCACTTGTCCCATTCACCTCAGTTAATTTGAGTGAATTCTCCTAGTCGATCACTGAATCGATCGGTTATATTTGATACCACATTTTCAAAACGAGACAATGCCGTGCGCATGCACTAGAGCCCCCGCTCATGCCCGCTATAAAAAAGTCGACAGATTTTGTGATTATAATACTTGTCTAAAAAGTAAACTTTGTACTTTTACTCACATTTTGCTGTCGAAAAGTTCTTTACACGATGAGACTGTGTTACAAAAAAAAAAAATAAGGGAGATATGAATTTTAAAAAAAGACCTTTTTTAGACACATGTGAGTTAAGAAATCCAGGTGGTAAGAAGTATAAATGATGATGATGATTGCGTGATGATCGTATGATGAAAATAATAACTCTTAATTCATCACTGACAAGGTTACATAATGAGGTGCGCTGAAGCCACAGGCTTACATGGACTAGGACTAAGACCCCACCTTTTTGACTGGCCTTGGTTCTTAAAAAAGCCCACAAATGTATTTTAGTTTTTTAATGTCTAAATGAATTAGTTCCTCCATATTTATCGGATTACTCTATTAGAAGTCGCACTATTAACACTTACAATGAAGACGAAGGAACGACATTCATCTGCCGAACCCTAAGTTAATGCTAGGAAAAACCACTTTTAGATTTTCAGGTACGGTTCCTTTTAATAATTTACCCACATAAAAAAAGAAGCTAGGTCGCTTTCCACTTTTAAGAACTTTCTTAGAGTTCATTTTAGCCATTAGTTGTTTCTTATTAATATAATTCTTAGGTAACTTCGATAACTCTCTTGTTTTTCTTGATCTTAAACAAATTATGATGATATGTAATTTCCCTTTTAGGCACTTTTTAAAATCCTTGTACACAATTTTAAAGTAATTTTTAAATTTTTATCAAGTAGTCATAATTTACGCAGGGCCCAATGGCTGATAGGGCTACCCTGCCTAAATAAAGTTGACTTGACTTGAATTCATTTGTGTCACTTAATTGTAAAAAACGTTGGTTTATTTGAACGCCCGAAAGCTTGATTCTCTCCATTCTATGTTACTGATAACTAAGTTAAATTTCAAACGGCACGAAAGAGGAGTAAGAAATACCTTCTGCGTGTGAAGTAATACAAAACAAGACACTTAATTTGTTCTGGAGAATTGCAACGAGTTTTAAAACTTTCGCTTCTGGAGACGAAAGAGAGGTTGTAGGTGAAAAGAATACGTAGAAGCCCAAATAATAGGATGATAGACGTACATTGCATTTGTAGGATTCCCAGGATTTAGTTGTGCTGTTTGCTGTGAAAGTCTCCCAAACATCTTCAAGATCGATAAAAAGACTGCTGACTCACCTGGTTTGCAATTCTTTCCATCTCCATAATATCCCGGATGACAACTGCAGTTGTATCCTCCCTTGGTATTATTGCAGTAAGCATAGGTATCGCAGTTATGTGTATTCTTTGCGCATTCGTCTATATCTGAAACATAATTGCTCTGCTGTTTTTGATCAGTTCATCTGACGGCTACATTAATCAGTGAAGACTCTATGACGAGAAATGCATGGTTACCAGAGAACGTATAATTTAGACAAACTCAGTACCCACCGCAGAAAACAAGGGATGTCACCACAAACCACTGGACTTGTCTAGCTACCCAAATTAGATTGACCTTGTTCGTTAGAGTTTTTAACACAATACAAGTAATTAAAGCGCGCTTTGATTTTTCAATAAGCTTTCTACCATCAATACAGTGGATGGTGGCCGATTTTCGCCTTGTTCGAAGGAAAAATAAATAAAAATGATTTTTGGTCTGATTCAGTTGATTGGTTCGACGCGTCCTAAGTTCGACGTCTTACCGTCAACAGACAATCTTAACGTACATTAAGTCGACCCAAAGTAGAGTTTTGTTCCTCTCATGAAAAGTTCGACCTTTGGCTTAGGCCTATAGTACACAGAAGTCATTCAGAATAACAACAAAAGGCGTTTTACAATCTACCTAAATACTGAAAACGGCTGATTCAGCAAAAGAAAAACCTTGTAAACTTATATTTAACTACACGCATTATGTAGTGGCACAAAGAAGCCAGTCAATTGATTGGTAAAAAACCACATGCTAATGGTATTGAAAAATATTGAGCTTTAAAATACTCTCCTCCGATATTAAAACTACAAGTGACATTTACAAAGCGATTGAGTTTTAATACGACATTCAAAGGACACAGCATCATAATGTATTTAAATCATGCTTAGACGTGATAAATACCCAAAAACCAGTGTCAGATCTGGATATATATTTTAAAAGACTACGTGCTGTGTACAGCTAAACATTGTTCTCTGAGATCGCGTAAACCTAAACTTTACGGAGAAATTAAAAGCAGTTACTCCTACATAACAGCAGCTATGGAAAAATTATTATATTTTTGAGTAGACATATCTCATAAACGGGCTACAAACTCAACAGGAATAAGCGCGAACTGAATAAATTGTCTGTTGAACCTTTAAAAGGTTCTGCGCCACTTACACAATTTTCCCTTGCTGAACATAAACTTTACCGAACTGTATCTTGGTCCGCTATATAGAAGCGATGTCATCGTTCAAATTTTAAACTGTAAGATCCCCTGAAAGAGGTCTCCTCAATGGAGCAATATGTAAAAGGTTTCAAAGGTTTCACGCCGGTGAAGATGTGCGGCCTGTCACCTCTTGCAAGTTTTTACTATAGCGCTTCAAATTAATAACTGGAAAAAACGGGGAGGTACTCCATCTAGTGTTTTCAATGTAGCCTTTGGGTAGACTCATTGGAAGCGTAGAGATAGGAGGAACGCGTCCCCTACCCTTTTATTCCGTTTTCCCCCTTCCCAGTCGTCTTCCACTTTTTCGCCTTCTTTTCGCAGTCTCCCTACACACAAATGAGCCTGTTCACACTGGCTACTTCCAGACTCTCTAATTGAATTAATTAAATACACTGATCAGTAGCCAACTCGTCTGATTAGACGCACTTGCCGAGCAAACCTTAAGTTTTCATGCGGGTCATGAAAGCAACATAATGCAGCTACTTGAAATCCAACAGACCCCGATTCATATCCCTGCGACGATGCCAGGTAATTTGCCTTGGGACATTTTGTCAAAAACTATTAATCACGGCTTGTCCACACATTGGAAAATATATTTATGAGTTCTAGTTTTATTCGAAGACCATTTTGTGCGTCAGCAAGTGATTTTATATAATGCCCTCAAATTCTGGCCTGATTTGTACGAACAGTTAGGAAATTTCTGGTGAAACTGCATCTTATTAGCTTTAACTTACCAATCTCACAGTACTTTCCTTCAAATCCAGAAGTGCATATACAGCGGTATCCTCTGTCTGTAAAACCTGTTTGACAGGTTGCATTGTTTTTGCACTGTTCATTTTCACAAGCATTCTGGAAAGAAAACAGACATTCCTAATGCCTCCACAACGACTGATTAATTTGAAAGTAATCTTATCATGTATAAACATATAGAGTGGTTTTCGTTTGAGTGTCGTAAAACCAAAACCAAAGTAATTACTCTGGCCAATCACATAGGACACAGACAATACATTGAACCAATCAAAACTCGAAGTAATTACATGTGGCTGACGCAAAGCGCGGGAAAATGCATGCGAGCGCGTCACAATTGGCTTTGGTTTTACTTCTGATTGGATGAAAAGGTGGCGCGAATCTTTTAAGCCAATCGCATCGCGTAGAAAGTACAAAACCAATTACTTTTCGACACTCAAATGAAAACCGCTCTAACATGAATTTGAGATTGCTAATTAAGGTAAAGTTAATAGCAAAAACTTACATTAGCTCCAAGGTATACGTAATCTGGATTTGTTTCCAACATTTCTTCTCTGTCTTTTATAGTGGAATTATTCAGCTCACATTTCCTCGTGACTTTGTTGAAGTTGTAACTGACACAGTTTGGTTCCATGTAGCACAAAGTCCGGCAGGATCTTTCACAGGTGACGTCAACAGTACGAATCACGTGATTTTTGAGGCGCTTTCCATCAACAGTGTTGTAAAACTCTAGCTGGCGACAGGTGCCTGAGAGAAACAAAAAAGAATGAGCGCTGAAAAATAGCTGTACTTTCAATAATAGACCTCTTGTATATAACAAGAGATTTGTTATATTAAATCCACTACCGGATTAAGCTTTCAACGAATTGCAAAAAAATTCTACTTATCAAATTCCTTGAGGGAAGTGGCAACGGAACAACATGATAAAAAACAGGAAATTTACCTTTAAAAGGTATACATAAATTATTATCATTAATTTTTCCCGCAACCGCATCCCAACTTCCAGAGTAACATTTCACTGCTGGTCTAGTTTTAAATCATATTAGGTCACTCCAAGTATTAAATGGTTCTTAGCTGAAGCTCCTTTTCAGTACGTTTCTTTTTAATGCATATTTTGTAAAGTATTTTTCATTTTTAAAACAACAAGTGCCGTCAAACTCAAAGAGGTCTCTAATCACAGCCCTATCAAACATCAAAGGTAAGTCTCCTATATTTATTTTTTAGAAAAATAAAAATAAAAATAAAATGATATCAGCGTTTGCAGACCTCAGTATTTTATTTTCCATATAAAGTCCCAACGGTCGCCCGACTCTCTTGTGAGAAAATTCACATAACACTCTCGTAACGTAAACTTGGGACGCCTGTGCTCCAATCAGCAAGAATTGCAGAAAACGTCAATTTGGGACTTGTCAATAGAGCGAAAACACTAGATACGTGGTGGTAATGGTGGTCACGTAATAAGCT